TGCGCGATGGGTTCCACTCAGTGCTGCTAGGCTGGCCTTGTGTGGATCCTGGTGACTGATTCTGACTTTGGTTTCAGCGGCCCAGCCCAATCCAGCTTTACTCCCCTCCCTTTGTATTGGCTCCAATCAAAGACAAGCAGACAGAGTTGGGAGAGACGTTTGGTGAAGCGAGCCAGAAGTACAACGTGCTCTTCGTGGGCTACTGTCTGTCTCATGACCAGCGCTGGCTTTTGGCTTCCTGCACTGATCTCCATGGGGAATTGCTCGAGACCTGCATTGTGAATATCGCTCTGCCAAACAGGTGAGGAGCCTTGGTGTTCAGGGTACATGTGCATTGATGTCCTGCCTCTCCTCAGGTGCCAACCTGTTTTCCTGTCCACATGCCATGGGTACAGTGTGGGTGGGTGGTTTTTTGGAATTGTCTGTATACTGACTCTGACTCACTGGGGCCTCTTCCTTGTTTTTCTCTCTTTGAGATCACGGAGGAGTAAAGTATCTGCCCGTAAAATCGGACTCCAGAAGTTGTGGGAGTGGTGCGTTGGCGTAGTGCAGATGACGTCTCTACCCTGGAGAGTTGTGATTGGGCGGCTTGGACGTCTGGGCCACGGGGAGCTTAAAGGTGAGCGAGTCCCAGAGCAGGTGGACAGGGGACGACATTGGACAGGGCTGAGCTGGTGCCAGTAACTGATTTGAGAGAGGAGTGTGCACGTGGGCAGCACAGTGACAGGAGATGACATTCCCAGCCCTGGTAGATGGAATGAGAACCTGCATTTTCTCAGGGTCCCCACAGACTCTCACGCAGATGGGGAACATGTACAGGATAAGCCAGTGATTTTCAAACTTTTCTTTAGCAACAGAATTATTTATGCAAATGAAATATTAAATATTGAACCTCAACATATAAAAAAGTAAACTTTTTATTAATGTAAAATACTCGATAAATTCAAGTTCCTGACCATTACTTATGCATTCAGTCAGTAGTGAGGACCAGTTCGTTTTAACACACACTTTCTATCAGATGGTGAGTGGTGGCTGCAGCCTGAGGAGTCTGCAGTTTCCTGCTGGTGTGTTCCCTACAGTCGATGGCAGTTTCCGTATTTCTGTACTTTGATCTGGCAGCATGGTCAGACACGCATGATCCACTGCACTGAGTGGTGCAGACAGGAACCGACTTTCTTCACCTGGTCGTGCAGGCCCCCTTAAGTCTGAAAGCTTGAGAGAGGTGGGAAGTTTTCTTAAGTCGAACTCCCAGCCATCTTGTAACCCAGCAGTGCCACCAGCAGCTGTGTGGCGTGCCTCTGAAACTAGCATGTCTCTTGGTGCTGCTGTGTGTACATTTTGGCGTGGGCAATACGAGTAGGCCTAGGCTTGTAAAAAGCCTTATTAACAAACAGCGCTTTGATAGGAAGCTTGCAACGTGTATTTAGTTGGCAGACTTTTCTCCTCAGTTCTGCACAATAAACGAAGCTTGTATCCCAAATCAGCTTGGTGGTTTTTAGTCTGAAAGTCCCTTAGGGCAGGGTCAGCTCTCTGTGGAGGGCCAGAGGGAACACCTCAGCTTTACAGGGTTTACCACATCAGAGTGGCTGCGGACAGTTCCTAGATGGGTGTGGCCATGCCCCAGTGAAAGGATTGACAAAAACGAGGAGTGGGAAGGATTTGGCCCTCAGTGACTTCCTGAGAAGAAATTCCTGCCGGTCACACAGCTAGAACTTCCACTGCACAAATTGCCTCCATGAATTATTTTTTTAGGGCTTGACCTTAGTTTATCTATATGTTACATAATATTGAAATAAGCATTTTAGGCATTTGTCTGTACAAACTTTTTTTGAGGAGGTGGTGTCCTGTGGACCAATAGAAAATATCCTTCTTCTCCAGTTTTGGAAGAACACCGTACTAGACTGAGCCTGGTGTCAGCAGCCTGGAGGACCTCCCTTCATTTCCGTCAGAATCCCTGTCTTCTTCCCGGTCTGCTTTTTAGTGTCTTAAAGGCATTGGGCTGTTCTTTAACCCTTGGGAAAATCTGCAGTAGAGGAGAAGGGAGGGTCAAACCCAACGCAGTCTAGGCCCTGGGCGTTTGGGCGTTCCTCAGGCGTCCCTTCCCTTGTGTGGTTTGTCTAGGGGCACACACTTCCCTCTTGTCCCCTGAGGAGCGTGTAAAGGGTGGTTATAAAAGCCCGTCAGAGATGGAGAAAGCAGAAACCTGTTGGCTGATCCACAGACCCTTGGCCAGAGCTGAGGTCTGTACCACTCTGTGCTTCTGCGGGAGGCTATCAGATAGGACCCTGTAGGTTTCCCAGTCACCTGTATGAATCTGTCTTCATCTTCAGCCTGCGTGTAACCAAAACCTCGCACTGCCTCTCCCTTCTCCTTTGGTTGGAAATACGGAGTGTGGGTTGGTGTGCTTCTCTGCTTTGTGAACCGGTCCCGCGTGCTCCTGAGACAGGTGCTTTAGCCCCATCAATGTGAGCTCGGTCAGCACAGGAAACGTGCTCCCTAGCAGGAGAAGCAGCTTGTCTGAGAAAAAGAGCGAGAAGTCAAGGTGTGTGTGGCGTGGTGTTCCGTGGTGGGGTGGCGCGGCATTCTTGCTGCAGGAAGCCCACCCCCTTCCATCGGTGTCAGGAAGGGAGCGAGAGGCCCAATGCTTCCTGCCTGCAGGTAGCAGCATTGTCCCCTGTCTTCCGATCACACATGCTGCTTTGCTTTGGAGGCAGTAAACGAAACTGGTGCTCTCTTCTTCAGCTGTTCGATTAGTGCCACACTGTGTGGAGCAGCCCCCGCCCCCACCCCCGGGGGCCTGAGTCCCCCTGGGCACTGTAAGAATGCTGCTTTCCTGTTTGTGCGGCTGCTAGGCATTCATGCAAACAGCCGGTTGACTGCAGTGCACACACCTGAGGGTAGTTCTGCAGTGGGCTATGCTGTCGAGAAAGGTGCCAGGAGGGGCAGTGAAAGGTCAGGTAGAGGAGGAAGGATCAAACAGCAACCACTGGCACCATGGAAAAGCATGTTGAGTGCCTGAACCTTCTGCATCTCTGCTGGACCTGGCCAGGCCGTTCCTGACGGGACTGCAGTCCTCACGGCAGGAGGCCTTTGCTGCTTGCTTAATGAGGTGCACTAGAGGCCAGACAGCATCTTCTCCCTTATTGACAGAGACCTTGTATAAAGTCATATTCCTGTTAGGGCCCATGCTGGGAAATGCAGTGACCAGGCTAAAGCGGTCAAAGGCTGACCCCCTCCTTGTTCTGCATTTCTGAAGACTATGAGCCTGACTCTGGTTTCAGATTGGAGCATCCTCCTGGGAGAGTGCTCCCTACAGACAATCAGCCGACGGCTCAAGGACGTGTGCAGGATGTGCGGGATCTCCACCGCAGACTCCCCTTCCATCCTCAGTGCCTGCCTGGTCGCCATGGAGCCGCAGGGGTCCTTCGTAGTGATGCCAGGTAAGTCTCCTGGTCCGAGCCACTCAGTGGCACCATGTTAGCTCAGTCCACTCACGTTGTGCACAGACGAGGACAGAGGCACCTCCATTATGCCTTCATGAGGGGATTGTGCTTTGGACTCTAAAAACAGCACCATGGAGAGTGGGTTATGATCCTATCCTTGTGGATCATAGTTTGGGGCAGAAACCATACATTCTGGGTAGAATTGAGAGCCCTTAAGGTCGTGGCCAAGGACTCTGGCCTGACCCAACTTACTGGCAGTGTGTGAGAATCACCCTCCAAGAAGCTACTGAAGCAGACATCAGCATGGGTCTTACGTAGCCTTCTGAATCTGACAGCATCTCCACATGGCCTCCAGAGGATCTTTAGGGGTCTCTAGTACAGCTGAGGCTGGCGGTTCAAACCCACCAGCCACTCCTCGGAAGGAAGGTTGGGCAATCCTACTTCTGTAGAGATACTGCCTCAGAAACCCAAGGAGGGGTCGCTGTGAGTCAGGGCTGACTCGATGGCACATAACAACAACAACAACAGTACAGCTGAGGGTGTGGTGAGTGAGGCAGGTAGGGCTAACACCTCAGCGGTACCTGGTACACAGTCGGCTCTCTGTAAGTGGAAGTGCTGCTGTGTAGATAACCCGGGCAGCACAGCCACAGAGAGAAAACCTGGCTGGTTTTAAAAAACCTAGTAACTAAGCAATGTTAGACCTGGCTAGCCTGCTTTCACCATCCAGATACTGGTCTGCTCATGTGGGAGATCTTAGTCCTGGCTCCCAGAAACAGAGTGTGGTTGTGTGAAGATGGGGTCCCTGTGTCAGCCCTATGAGCAAGAGCGCCTGGCCTGGCCTGCTGCTGAGCCCTCAGATAGCCTTGGGCTCGTGCCAGTTGGACATACACCATCACCTCTGTGCTTCTGTCCTCACCCACAAAAGGGGGAGAGGAGTTCCTGCCTGGGTGGCTGTGATGAGTCGGTGAGGTAAGCAGCAGGCAGGCTGTGGCCGAGTTCGGCCTGGAGCGAACAATGCATGTTCATGGTAACGATTGTCAGTTGAGGAGTAGCGTGTCGACAGTACTGTGTGCTTCAGGAGAACAGCGACTTGTAAGATATGAGTAACTGTAGGAGGAAGGAAAGTGGGAGATTGACTTCTGGAGATAGTTCTTACGTAAGTAATCAAGCAGATCTGTTGGACTGATGGTGTTTGAGCGCAGCCTCGGCCGTGTGTGATGAGGCTGGGGTAGCACAGCCCCATGCCCCTGGGCTGACTTCTCTGAAGGGGGTTCAGCAAGCTGAGTCAGCTGCAGTGAGTGTTTGTCGTGACGGTGTGACAGCCCCCTCCCTCCAGACTAGCCCTTCTGAAACTTCACTTCTGGAGTGGTTCACTGCTGCACAAGGGGTGTTGATATGATTCCTTCTCTCTTTTGAAGATGCTGTCACCATGGGCTCTGTTTTCGGCCGGAGCACTGCACTGAACATGCAGTCTTCTCAGCTCAATACCCCACAAGATGCTTCCTGTACCCACATCTTGGTGTTCCCAACGTCATCGACCATCCAGGTGGCTCCAGCCAACTACCCCAACGAGGATGGCTTCAGCCCCAACAACGGTGGGTGGGGGCCCTGTGCGGACAGAGGTGGCTCAGCAGTGAGGCCTGGGGCTGGCGGAGGGCTCCTGGGCTGCTCATAACACATGGGATAGCAATGCTGAGACTTTCTTTTTTCTTGAAGCTTTCGTCCCAGGCTATGCTATGACAAAGACCAAATACATACTTGCCTGTCTTGGGCAGATAACTCCTCCCTGGTAGTGTCCCACACATGAGTGTCAGTCTTGGCAGTAAATATGTACGTGTTAACCTGATTTGAAGCCACGGACACTTCCAGGCAGTGGGAATGCAGTGCCTGCCTCCAGTCCCGGGAATCCCATGTGCTGGGAACAGCTCCTTATTTGATTGTCCTGAAGGAGCTCCTTGAGTTCGAGGATCTGGAAGGCATTTGTTAAGAAATGGTCACTTATCCAATGTAAAATGTACAGTGTTTTGCAGCCATTTAACGGCTTTGGAAAAGCATTTACCAGCTGCCAGCATTTCCCCACATTAGATGAGAAGGGGCGAGGATCCCGCCTTGTACACACAAGTGTGATCACAACACAGTCAGGGTCTGAATGGCAGCACCATGGCAGGCACGTTTCATGGGGACAGCCTGTAGCTGACAACTAGCCCAGGTTCTGTCCCTGTTGTTTCTGCCGTGAGCCCACCTTCCTTTCCTGACGGGGGAGACATGGTGGTGTGATTGCTCTGGGGAGAGGCCTCCAGCCCCAGGACACGAGCACACCCATTGGTGTGCGCTGTGTCGGCCTCAGTGGGATTGCAGGTGTTAACTGCATGCCTGACTGGGGCCTGTTGGTGTCTTGGGAGGCATCAACTTTAATAACTCAGCTGCTTTAATTGTAATGATTGTGTTGCCTCTATAGCTGTTTGCACTTTTTGTGCCTTTGGAAGCTGTGCAGGTGTGGGTTTGTTTTCTGTTCTCCAATTCTCCATTCTGTTCATGCTTCATGCTAGGAGACCACTAAGGTATGAACTGAAGGAAGCACCACTGAGTCTCAGGACGGTGTTAACATGTGTAGCTCTTGGTCACAGACTGACAAAACAGTCCATTGGCTAAGCAAGGCCTATGGATGATCTTGTTAATTGTGCTTTTTTCTCTCTCCCCTCTAGATGATATGTTTGTTGACCTTCCATTCCCAGATGACATGGACAATGACATTGGCATATTAATGACGGGGAACCTCCATTCGTCACCCAACTCCTCCCCGGTCCCCTCTCCAGGTTCTCCCTCTGGCATTGGTGTGGGCTCGCACTTCCAGCATAGTCGGGTAAGAGGAGTGTCCAGGAGGCTGTTTCAAGCAACCTTGACCGTCAGGAAAAGAACCTTTGGGAGTGGGGCGAGTGACACTCCAGCTGTTGCATTTTGAATGGAATCTGAAAGAAATGCATTTTGTCTGATGAACAAGTTTTGTCAGAAAAAGTCCTGTTAACAGCTGCAGGAGTTTTATTCAATTGTTGTTTTTCTTTGCAAAAGTTAGTTTGGGTTGCTTGCTGCTTCCCTGTTACTTTTTACCAAAGTAGTGACTTCAGAGAGATTGGTTAGGCAGCCCTCCCCATTTAGCGTGCTGTTAGCGTGCCGTTAGTGTGCTGTCAGCGTGTCGGCTGGAGCAGGCATTGTCACCAGGCCTCTTCCCCGCCCTGGCCCCGTGCAGCTCTCCGCCAGCACAGCCAGCGATGGCAGGAGGCTGGTTGTAGAGGAGGCCCCTGGGCTGATCCAGAGGACTGAGGCCAAGTGGAGCTTGCAACCAGCCTCCTCTTAGATGCGTCAGGGGTGGGCCAGCAGACCAGCGTTAATATGGTTCTGCTGGGGCTGTGGGACTTTGTTCCAAAGCTGCGTGGGTCACCCCCTTCCTTTTTTTTTCTTCTTTGTTTAGGTTGTTGGGGGCTTAAAGGGCTAAGACGATGCAGGTAGCTAACACAGCTGAACCAGACAGATAGGAGCACCTCTGCTCGTACCCATGTAGACACTAACGTGTACTTTAGGGGCTCTGGTTTCTGTTAGATGGGACTGTTGCACTGAGTTCATGAAAGGAGAGTCAGTGCTCTGTCGACACAGAGCTGAAGGAACGCGAGCTCTCACTGTCCTCATGGTGCCACCTGCCCACCCCTTACCACCCCCTTCTGGAAGGAAGGTTTTAAATACTTTCATTTCCTCAGTTCATTGCTGGTTGATGACCACTTACTGATTTACTAGAGATTGTTGGCATGGCAACCAAGAACAAAACATTGGGTAGTTTCAATTTAGGATTAACGTGATTCTAGAGGCGGTGGGTGGTGGTGGTGTTTACATGTCGTAGAGTCATCTCCGACTCATAGCGACCCCAAGTACAGCAGAACGAAACACTGCCCGGTTCTGTGCCGGCTCCGTGATCCTTGCTGTACCTGAGCCCATTGTTGTCACCACTGTGTCCATCCTTCTCGTTGAAGGCCTTCCCCTCCTTCATTGACCCTCCCCCTTACCAAGCATGACATCCTTCTCCAGAGAATGGTCCCTTCTGACAACATGATCAGAGTAGGTGAGAAGAAGTCTGGCCATTCTCGCCTCCAAGGAGCATTGTGGCTGCATGTATTCCAGGACAGATGGGCTAGTCCTTCTGGTGGTCTGTGGGACTCTCGGCATTGTTCAGGATTCTAGAGGTGGAGCAGCTAATAGGCACGTGCTGGCGGCAGGTGGACCCGGCTCGGACTGCGGCGGCGTGGTCCACCACAGACCCTATCTCTCTGCGAAGTGGGAACGGCAGCACTGGCTCCCAGAGCCTCCATTAAGAGCTGGTCACTGACTTGGGGTGTGCCTGTGAGGAGCAGGTGAGCCGTGCTGCTTCTCTGTCTTTGGAGCCTCACACACAGTCGTTACCTGAGTGTCAGTTGACCGTGGGCCCTTTTCAGTGCTGAGCAGCTGCAGCCAGGGGACTCCTGATGGCTTTTGACGCTCCTCTTTGTGAGCCATTGAGCAGTCTTTGATACCCAGTTAAGCATTGTAACAGGAAAGGATGTGGACATGGTTAAAGTTTTCATTTTTACAATTCAGAACTCACACAGTTTGATGCAGTGGTTGAGGGTTATTTTTCCCCTCTAAACAGAAGACTTTTAAATACAAACAACTCCTTATTGCTTACACGAATGTCTGTTTGCAGCCTTGAAGCTGAAAGGTGAGGACGCAGCTTCTCGTGAGCAGGTGGCTTGCTGCCAGCAGGCGTTGCCTTCTCCTGGCTGGTGTTTGAGGCCGGCCAGGTGTGCACGGGGTGGTTCTGGCTGGTCATTAGGCAAAGTGCATGGACATGGAAGTGCCTTCACCTGTCAGAGCACACGGCCTCCACCATCAGTTTGTTTCCTAATAATGTCAGTGATCAGAGTTTACATTTAATACAAAAGAAACCAGAGCAGAATAAGCGCATACTCGGCGCCTGACGCTGCCGTGCTGCTGCGTCTTCTGCCCGAGCTGTGGGTGTGTCAGGTGTCTGTGGGTTTGCCTCTCCTGGTCACCTGGCCTTTCTGAAGAGCTGTTGTCAGAAAGGGGACTAGACGCTGCAGAGTGGGCTGGCGGCTGGCGGCCGCCGACGCTTAAAGCTTTGTTTGATGAATGCTGATGCACTTGCTGGCCTTTGTTTTTCAGAGCCAGGGCGAGCGTCTTCTTTCAAGAGAGGCCCCCGAGGAGCTCAAACAGCAGCCTCTGGCCCTCGGGTATTTTGTGTCAACTGCCAAAGCCGAGAACCTGCCCCAGTGGTTCTGGTCGTCATGTCCGCAGGCTCAGAACCAGTGCCCCCTCTTCCTGAAGGTTGGTTTGGCATTATATTAAGAGATCACCGAAGTGGAGACTTTGTGGGGACTGGCTGGGTGATTCAGGTTCTGTCTCCAAAATCTGTCTGATACGCTGTTGGCAAAGTTAGGCTGGATGGAAGGGTGATGTAACTGGCCATCCTGCTCTTCCTCCCCGGCCTTCAGGGCTCGCCACTGGAGAAAGGCAAGATGCTCACACACAGGCTCCCTCCTCCTGGTATGTTTCTTAGAACCCTTCATCCAAATGAAGGGACAGGCAAAAGATCCCACACTCCAGTTTAGGGAAGAGAAGCCGGAATGGAGTCCATTTGTCACTGACAAGTTGGCAAAAAGCCAAAGGCTGGACACCATCCTGTGTAGCAGCCCCACCTCCAGGGAACAGATACTCTGATAAAAAGAAAAATGTCACGTGTGAAAGACCAGAGAGCACCTGAACCCCTCAGTGAGAGAGTGGCTGACTCGCCCGTGGTGCAGCCATACCGTAGAGCAGTGACTGCTGATCCACGAAACGATGAGGGTGAGATTTACAGACACATTCTGTGGATTAATCTGTAAGACACACATACCTGTACATGCGTCTGTTCAGATTTTACTGAAAACAAACAACGGAAGGTTAAACCAAAAGCTAATACGGTGAAACAGTTTTCTTTTCCCAATGACTTTATTGTATCATTGTGATGCTAAAGAAGTAATCTAAATCCATGTACCACATCTTTTTTTCTTGTGCCCACACATAATGCAGGAAAATAGGCAAAACACACTTAACAGAAACAGTGTGCATGTTATTTGCATAAGATGTGGTAATGTTTATTTTGAATTAGTGTGAGTGTAGATTTTTCCCTTTCTCTCTGTGGAAGTTACCACTCGTCCACTACGTAGACGACAAAGCTCTGGAGTGAAACGCCCAAGTGCCGTGGCCGTGGGCCCTGAGTTCCATTGCTCACTGCAGAGACACAGGTCTTTGATGAGGGCCGAGTCACGGCAAGAAATGAGGAAGAGCCTGGGGCTCTCGTCCTGCTTCAAAGCACACAGGTCCCCAAAGATGATTTAGGGTCATATCGAAGGACCCAGGATCCGACTTGGAGAGGGGCTCCCGTTGGCCAGAGGTGGGAAAAGAATGATGCCAGAAAGAGACTGGACCAAACCCAGGGACAGAATTGTACTGGGGAGAAAAGTGATGACTTCTGAAGGTACTGGAGCTCTGGTAGCATAGTGCCTAAGGCATTTGACTGCTAAGCAGAAGGCTGGAGGTTCAAACCCACCAGCCATTCCTCACAAGGAAGATGGGGCAATCTACTTCTGCAGTGATACCGCCTTGGAAACCCAAGGAGGGGTCGCAGTGAGTTGGATTTGACTCAATGGCAGTGAGTTTGGTTTTGGTTCAGGGCATAGAGTCAGGAATCTGAAAACTGGAGAGAGAGAGTCCACATGTATGCCCTTGCTTGCATACTGAGTTACCTCGTGAAGTAAGGCCAGTGGGTGGCCTGTGCGGTCAGTGGCGCGTGCCAGTACCAACTGAGCCTGGTGGTCAGTCTGTAACTCCAGTGGGACAAGCCGATGGGGGATGCAGCAGCACCCATGACGTATTCTGGGCCCTGGCCCTGAAAAGAAGTGGAGTCAGAACCTAATAGGCCTCTAGGGGTAGCTTTCCATCTGTGGGCAATGAGAATTGCCCACCACCAGCATCGGACACTCCCAGCCCCGTGCAGACGGCGTGCTGTCAGGAGCGAGCTCTCCAGGCACATCCTGTGCAGTGGGCAGGCCAGGCCGGCTCATGGTTTTAATAAACCCAAATGTGAAAAGACATTTTTGAGATGATCATGGAAAATTGTACATAGACCGGTTATTGTTGTTGTTGTTGTTATGTGCCGTCGAGTCGGACCCGACTCATAGCGACCCCTCCTTGGGTTTCTGAGGCAGTATCACTACGGAAGTAGATCGCCCCATCTTCCTGCCGAGGAGTGGCTAAAAACCTAAATGAAACACACTGCTGTTGAGTCAAATCCGATTCATAGCAACCCCATAGGACAGAGAAGTAATGCCCCTAGGGTTTCCAAGGCTGTCAGTCTTTATGGAAGCAGGTTGCTCTGTGGAGCAGCTGGTAGATTTGAACTCCCAACCTTTTGGTTAGCAGCTAAGTGCTTTAACCACTGTGATCCCAGGGTTCTGTGTGACAGTTGTGTTGTGTCTGAAAGTCCTTATCAGCAGAGATACCTGCTGCGTTATTGGTAGACAAATGGTGCAGTGTTGAGGTTGTGTTCTGCAGTCGCCCAGCAGAATGTGAAGGATGGGAGTGACTGTTGAAGTGGGTTACACGGGGGCATGGGGCTGCCTTCTGTAGGGTTATTCTTGCATGGTTGACTGTTGCCATTAAAAAGTCAACAACAACAACTTTTAGGAACGAAAAGAGAAAAAAAGGGGCCCCAAAAGCTAGCTTACTGTTTCCAAGTCAGGATCACACTGGGTCTGTCTGATCTGGGTAACTGGGCACAGACCCACAGAGGCCCTGCCTGTGGAAGATGCAAGTCCGTGGCTCCCGGTGGGTGCGGGCCTGCCCGGCCTCCACGCCAGGGCTGTGCAGACAGGAGCTAACATGCTTGTCTCTCACCAGGCGTCCCTGCATCACCACATTTCCGTAGCACAGACGGATGAACTGCTCCCCTCCAGGAACTCTCCGCGGGTCCCACACCCTCTGGACTCCAAAACCACCTCTGATGTTCTGAGGTATTAGACCTGGGCAACGAGGACTGTGGCGAAAATGTTGTAATTGGATTCCTTTGCTCGTGTTGGAGTCTGGTATTTGTGGGAAAGACGCTGCCTCCCGGCGATGGGACAGAGACGAAAACCAGGAGGGGGCCGTTAGGAGACTAAGTCTGGGCCCTGGAGCCCTTGGCAGTGAAGGCGTTTCTAACCCTCCCTGACGGTTTACATAAATAACATGAATAGGACATAAATTCCACTTTGGGGAAATGCCTCCCAGAGGTGTGTGTTAATTCTGTCACACTTTAGCAGGCCATAAACGTTCTTTATATAGTGTGAGAAAATACAGACTTTTTCTAATGCTTTCTAACTCTGAAATGATTACAGTTAAGCACCTGACCAGCATGATCTTGGCTTCCAGAGCCTCGAGAACACTGCCCAGCAGCACCCTAACGTGACCCAGAGTCACAGTTCTCTGGTGCCCCGTGGGTGCCATCAGCCCACCCCATCTCACAGTGACCCGTTCTCTAACAGCCATGTTAGAACAGTTAGGAACAAGAATGGTGAAGCTTAGTGATATGAAACTTGAGTCTGTCTCTACGCTACGTAGTTATGTCAGTGTGCTAGTTACCTGTATCATTAGTATATATTGATGATTTGTTTTAGAAACGTTAAGCCTTAGAAATGCAGTGCATATCTTCTCCTCATAGTCTGTCTCCACTTGGAGCCACTGCGTTTCGAGTGTGCAGTACCACACTGCCTCACCTGCTATGTAGCTCAGGGGGGAGGGGACCGTGAGCGGGTCAGGATCTGCCTCAGGCCTGCTCCCCGCGCCTGTCTGCAGTGAGCGGTCAGGCTGCGCGCTGCCAGGCCTCCACGTGCCCTGGCCCTGACTGCCACCTCTCTTGCAGGTTTGTCCTGGAGCAGTACAACGCTCTGTCCTGGCTGACGTGCAACCCGGCCACCCAAGACCGGACTTCCTGCCTCCCTGTCCACTTTGTGGTGCTCACTCAGTTGTACAACGCCATCATGAATATACTTTAACGGAAAAGCACTTGTTCTCTGGGCCTCAGTTTCTCTCTGGCAACCTCAGCCCCAGGAGCCTGCTGCACTCTGCAGACACCGTCTTCTCCTCAGACTACCCTGCAGTCCTGCACTGTGACCCCGTCCACAGGCACAGTCTGCAGTGTTCCCTGTGAGGGACACGCCAACACTCCGCTCGTGGACCTGGAGCAGACCTGCAGCCCGTGTTCCGGTGTGTGCCGCCCCAGGCCCCGGGTCCACAGGAAGGTGGTGTCGGTTTAAGAGGGAAACGAGACAGCATCCTTTTGCACAAGAGCCTGTTTTCAGTCTCTGTTTAGAAATTCGGGCCGTGGAGCCCTCTGGGTGAAATCCTCTGTAGCTGGGGTCTGGCCTGTGGGTTGCCTGAACTCAGAACCAGGGACAACTTTAAGAATAACCAGCTCGAGCAGTTTCCTGGCGGGGTCTCTGTCCCTGCTGTGCTCTCATCTGGGCCGGCACAAGTGCTCTGGTGACTGCAAACCTGGGGTAGACATGGACGGTCTAGGGACATCTTACTTTTGTTTATTTATTTGTTTTATCCTCTGGGTTTTGATTTTTATTTTGATATTTTTAATTCCTGAGGACCAGGTACAGTAGCTGAAACCCAACTCAGATCCACCATAGGATTCCTTGACTACATACCTCTGTCCTAGAAGCTGAAAACGGAGAGCAAACAGACTGGGGGGAGCGTGCCTAGAGAGCCACTGTCCAGAACCACCCAGCAATAGGTTTGTTAAGAACAAACTGGGTTTTAAAAGTCCTACCATGTTCCTTGTTAAAGGTGGCCAGCGTTTCATGGAGGATGACGTTTCTGTACACAAGGCAGTTCAGCCCTACCGTGGCTATAGTCACAGTGGAAATGTATTTTCCAGTGAATCCTCATGGGAAGCCAGGCCTCGTGTACGTTTCACAGTCAGACTGTTTGCTCAGAAAAGCAGTCATGAATCCGGGGACTTTTCTGGACCATAGGAACATTATTTCAAAGAATTATTACAACTTACCATTAAATTAGTGCTTGAAGTTGAGCCTTCATGGTGGGACTTCTTTAGAAGCGCCTTTTAAAGCATCCATGGCTGATTGAAGTATTTTATGACTCCTCATTCCAGGCCCGAGAGGGTCACCTTTAAGACTCCGTGTCAAACGCTAGTGGTTGCCAAGCGCTCGCCCGAGGGGCAGTGGGCGTGGGCCCGCCTCCGGGAGCAGCACGGGCCAGCTGTGGAGAGAATCGTGCAAAGTGTGAGAGTTCTTCCAAGACTTCCGCATCCTGGTTATTAACAAAAAAGGAAAAAAAAAAATGTAATAATTGATACGATTTTGTAAAAGTATTTTTCTTGAAATAATCTAACGTTTAAAACATTATATTAAACACAGAGTTGGGGGGGAGGCGAAAGCAGAGCCGTCACTGTAAACGGAGGGTCTGTTCTCTGTCTCGCCGGCTGGGGGCGACTTCCGCAATGTATAGCTTAGAAAATCTGATCTATCAAACCGTTTGTATCTAATGTGTACAGTGTAAAATTGACTTTAAAAATATTGCAGTGCTATTTTTTCTTAATCAGAAAGGAAAATTCTCAAGGCCTTTTGAAGAGCATAAAATGATGAAGATTGTAAACTTGTATAAAATTATCTTGGTGAGAAGACAAATTGTAAAGTAGCTATTTGTAATCTTTTTCCACTTTGGGGTTGCTTTTTTCCCAGAATTCATCAGAACTTTGAATTTTTTTTTAAACAGGCTGTTTTTAATGCAGGGGCTTTTCTTCCCTAGAAACCCAATTCTAAGCAAAAAGAAAAAAAAAAAAAACCTACAAAAATTAAAAAAAAAAAAAAAGGCAGCAAAGGGTAGTTTTCATCTGGTGTCTTTTATTTAAGTTTTTTAAGTTAAAAGTTGGTGACATATTTATACGTTTTTGTGCAAAAATAAATGAATGGCAATAGATTTTAAAAAATCTTATGTACTTCTGTGTGAAAAAAGTCTGTATAATATTTCCCTTAAATATGCATTATTTTACTTGTGAGTTTTTTACTGAATTAATCTGAAACGTACAAGCCCTGGATTTGCTACAGAGTGAGAAGTTATTATTATTATTTTTTTTTATTTTTAATTTTGGAAATTCTGCAGAAATCAGAACTCTTACCATGGTTTGAACTAAAGACGGGAAAGGGGCGGGCGGGTGGGCGGCATGCTTGTATGTGTATTTCAGAACCCTTTTTAAATGTAAAGGCTGTACATTTCCAGGAAGTGCTGGATTTCTTTGGTTTCCTTTTTTCCTTCAAGCATTTTGCAGTGAGCTTCTTTTCTATATAGCAAACAATTTGAAAGAATACAAATATGTGAAGTTCATTTAGAAACACCTACAGTACAGCGTGGTACAGTACACTAAAGGACTTTGATACAAAGGAGCAGTGCTACAAGGCCTCCATTTTAAACGTCATTCATACAGACCTTGTGGACGAGAGCTATATACTTTTACACACTTTTTTAGAGGAATAAATTATTGAATTACTGAAACATTGAGTGGCTTTTTTCCCTCCCGGCTTGCTGCTGTAATACGCTCTCTCCACCTCTCCTCTAAAGGTGTGTGGGTTTCAGATTGAACCCCCCGAAACTGGGAGCCAGGCTCTCCTTTCCTAGACCCAGTAACATGGCCGTGGTTTGGCTGCCTCGATCCCCACCAGCTCTTCTGGGGTGCTGTCCTCATCCTCAGAGGTACAAGCTCACCGTTGTGCAGGACACACGGAACACACAGACTCGGGGTGGCAGCGTGGTGCTGGTCTGAGTCAATCAGATCTACCTGGACTCCCAGCTCTGAGCTTGTGGTTGATGGTAGAAAAGCATACACATCTATGGTTGTAGCTTCCTCCCTTCTTGAATAGGAGTGCTGGTGGCGCAGTGGTTAACTGTTCGGCTGCTGACCCAAAGGTCGGTGGTTTGAACCACCAGCCGTTCAGTGGGAGAGATGTGGCGTCTCCTTCTGTAAACAGAGCTTTGGAAACCCTGTGGCAGTTCTGCCCTGTCCCCATAGGGTCACTGTGGGTCAGGATCAATTCGATGATGCCGTGTTAGCCCTTCTAGAACAGTCCCACCAGTTCACTGTGGTTCCTTAGAAATGACAGCTGCACCTCTCTGCTGTTTCCTGATTCACACAGTGCCTGCAGCTGGTGACGCTGGCGGAATGCCACAGATCACCACCTCTATGGAGCCCACTATGGCCCTCCCCTGCCTGTGTTCACTTAGGACGAAAGCCACGTGCTCTAGGAGGACTCGGGGTGACTGTACCGCCCTGTGCAGTGTTGCATAACGGTAAACAGGACAGGACAGCGGACAGTAATGAGCTGAGTAACCGGGGAGGCCTTGACTTCAGTTTCCCTCTGTACTAAGAAACACACGTTGCTCTGACTGTAACACTGTCTGAATCTAGAGAGAAACTAGGGAGACTGCTCAGACTCATTACATCACCTGCAAAATGTGGACGAGGCGGATGCCATGGGAGATGCTTTGCAGGCTGAAAAGCTGTGTCCTTGTGGTTACAGTGCGTGGAGAAAGGCTGAGAACGAAGGCCGGATTTCCTCTGAAAAGGAAACACTGGCCCACGTTTCAGCCAGTCCCCACGGCACGTATCATGGCCCTGCAGAGCAGTCTGAAGCCCCCCACGTCTGTCGAGTTTCATGTCATCCCTGTGTCTTTAAGTCATCACACATGGATGGTCCTCCTCGTGCAGGTGTTAACCCAACAATTAGCACCTGGTGGTTTTCTTTATGGGAGGGATGTTGTTTGCATAACCACCACTAGCTGCACCAACTTGGCCCCCAGAGCTTGATCTCTGAGGTAGGGAGAGTGATTTGGTGAATGCATTTAAACATTTTGCAAATTAGATCTGGATAAATCTGACCAGGCACATTAGCAACTGTCAGCCTGCCAGATTTCATCCCTCCGAAGATGCCACTGCGTAAAGTTATGTTCCTGCCATCAGGAGCTTCTGGGGTAAGTGACTGGTTACCAGCCAGTGTCCAAGAGCTACTCCAAATCGTTGAGAGTGCAACGTGCCAACAGGTGCCTGTCACAGCAGCCTTCTAGGACTCACTGTGGGGGCGGGAACCACACACCGAACGCCCTCTTTGCCACTTGTCGTTGACACAGCACCAAAGGCACCATGTAGAGGCAACTGCTTCCACTTCTGAATCCACTACATACTCAAAGCCTAGCAAGATGCACCTGTGACGTGGCAACATGCTCTCTCAGTGTGGCATGGCTCTCGCTGATGTCCCCTGCACAGAAAGGTCATTTCAACAGTAATGATTTCATGTCGTTAGGACCTAATGAGGCACCATTAGCAAAGTCTGCTGTGCCGGGTAATTGTGTGGTTGTAATGTTTGCCCTGGGCATGCCACTCTGCTTGGAAGCAGACTGGCCAGTTTAGAATTCTCAGGTCAAGCTGAAAGGCATGTTGACACGTTCTGCTTCTGGCTGGAACTGCGAAGCCACGGGCAGGTAGAGAGCAGCTGATAAGCGGGCGCTTTCCTCTCCCAGGAGGCCGTCAGGCTGCAACACTGGCGTTCCCATGGCAAGGCCGTTTCCTCAAGGAGCCTAAGTTGCCAGGTGATAGGAAGACAGTGGGTCAGCCCCACTTTTTTTTTTAAAAAAAAAAAAAAAAAAAAACAGGACACCCTGGGTTTTATTCATCTGAAAGGACGTGTCTGAGCTGTCAGTCCGTGGCCTATCTGATCTGGGTCTGTCACAGGAGCACTTAAAATCCCCCAACCGTCCCCAGAGCCAAACCTCATTAGACCAGCAGCCCTTGGGCCTGCCCCGGCCTCCTGGCCAGTCAGGTCCTCAGTAAAACTGGCTCCCCAGAGCTGAGAGCTGGCACAGGACATTTCTGCTCTGGGGACAAATCCATTTAAACAGTTGGACATGTCTACTGGTCATTGCTGTGTTAACTGAGCTTGAATGAGCTTCAACATACAATACTTAGAAGCGAGCTCCC